CCGTCTGAACGCTGAAGCATCAATTTGAGTAGTCCATACTATCAGGTTCATTGCTTAGGAAAGGATTAAAGACTAATACACACAAAACAGAATACTCGCAGCACACCCATTCAAATCAAGTAATATGCAGAGTACGATGTTTAGGTCTGTAGCTCAGAAATAACATCAATATAACAAAAAAACTCCTTTACATGTAGTATCTTGGTAAAGCATTTAAAACATGCAAATCATACCATAACCCACTTCCAGAATATTTCTTTTTTTTTAAACAGGTACTTTTGGATTAAGTTTTCAGGTGAGAGGGTTAAAACTGACAGCCAATATAAGGAAAAATGTATGTTTTAACTACCACTAGAGTAACATTTACTATAGCTGTTAAAAAACCTTTCTATTGATTTTTATGAGATTGTATAATTTATATCCTAGAAATCTTTCCCACCTTAACAGAAAAGGGGCTGGTAGACAATTAATAAATGTCCACTAATCAGTAATACACAAAACAGCTTGTCTTGTACTATTTGCATGAGGAACAAGAAGTAACATACTATTAGTTCTTATATCAAAAGAAATTGATCCAGCTAGAATACTACAAAAGCTTTATTAAAACAGAGGGATCCTTGCTGCTAGTCTTTACATTAATTCACCACAAAAAGAGCAGAAGTTGTACCCTACATATGCTTAAAGCAAACCTGTCTTCTTTCAGTTAAATTTCTGTCCAGCACAACTTTGGAGCACCATGAGGGTTCTCCCGTCCTTGATAAGCGATAGTAACTGCTGCAGTAGGGGTTCAGAACAGCAGTTGGATCATTTGTACACATTAATCAAACACAACTGGTAAAAAGATTTACCTTTAATGAATTACTACAGCAGCCTCTCTGAAGTTTATGACTTTTTCTGACATATTTATATTTTCAGAGCACTTAACACTTAAGCAATCATAAATGCTCTAGTGCATACATCAGAGTAGCTGCTACTGCTTGCCAGCCTTGATACAGCGCAAGAATTCTAATGTTGATCTCTCTTATTCGAACAAAATTAAGTTCTCTGTCTTCTGCCAAAGGTTGTTTACAAATCTTTTTTTTCTTCAATAACATCATACACTGCAATATAACATTCAGAAAGATAATCTGCTTTTAAGGATTTACAATTACTATACAGGCATTAGCTTTTTACCTATGACCAGACAGGTTTGAATTCATGCTTTCTTTTTCTTTATCATCTTTTAATAAAAGTTGTTATACAATAACAGATTTCTGTGTACAAAATGACCAGCTCTGTTTTAAGAATGTTTATTTTACAAAAAGAAATATTTATCCCAGATCAATACCTGCCTTTGTTCTTTTCTTTTTTCAGATCATATAAAGTAAGCACTACATCTACTAAACAGACAATTAATTTTAAGATTGCTCAAGGACAACAAAAAAAATCATTATGAACATCAGGTTTTATTGAAAAGTGAATTCATCACATTAGGATACCTCATCATTAAAACAACTCTGCTTTCTATGTGCATTTTGCACATAGAAACGTGTACACACAGATGTGTGTACTACCTTGCTGACAGCTGGCTCAGAAAAAAAAATTGAAAACTCTCTTATAATGGGCAGAAAGTCCACTGACAAAGATAGTTTAACTCACTGGTCAAAAAAAAAAAAAAAAAACAAAAAAACACCAAAAAAAACCCAACCACCAACCCAAAGCCAAAAAAACCCCACAACCAAAAAAATCCAAAAAACCACAACCCCCAAAAAAACAACCACCCACAAACTAAAAACTTACAAACATTGAGCCTTTATTAAAAATCACTGAGCAAATATCCATTGGTTTGATTCTCCTCGTCTTAATATGTTTTCTGGTTATTTTTTCCGAGACTTAAATCCTTGTCTTTGGGCAAAACATCAGCATATAGTACAGAACAGCTGAAAACGAACATGAGTCAAGTCATCTAGATTTATTATAAACTCTGTTCATGTAACAACTGAATTCCTTCCCTAACAATAATATTCAGAGGATAATACTGTTATTTAATGTATATCTTACTTTGTACCATCAAGTATCTTACAGTGAGGGTCACAAAAAAAGTAAAAAAAAAAAAAAATTTAGACAAAGAAATGACCAACATTTTAAAATGTTAAGTCAAATGGTCTTGTTTGATTTTAAAAGTTGTATGGAAGCACTTCGTACTTTAGGCAAATAATGTTTAAAACTGGTTAGAAATTCTCCTCCTCATTCTAAAGTTGCTTTAAAAAAAGTAGCACGTTTTATGGCAAACAAAACAAAAAAAAATGAGCAGAAAGTTTCTTTGGCACATTTTATCTGACTTCTAATCTAACAATGTACCTGAGGTTACGGAAGGGTGACTTCTAAATTGTAACATCCTATTGCTCATCATGGTTCAATATACAAAAACAAACAGTACACAAATAGTTCACAAAATATTAAAACAAGTTAGTAATTTTTATGCTTTACAGGTATTCTATCAAAATGTAAAATAAAGGCTCCCAAATTCTTCTTGAAAACCTGACTGAAACACATTCCCTGGAAGAAGAAATAAAGACACTCATATGGTAACAGTGCCTTCCCCCCAGCAAAAAAGAACCAAAACACCAAACAAAAAAACAAAAACAAAAACAACAACAAAAGAAAAAAAACCCAACAACTTCCAATGTTCACACAGCCTTCCAAAATTTAGTAGCATTCAGATGCCCCACAGAGCAAAACCACATAAGCCACATGACACTGGCGAACAGACTGCTACCTTGTTCTTGCTGTTAGATGTCACATTTCTCTTATTGCCTTCATCAGCCAAAAAATATAAATTAGAAATTTTAATTCAGATTTCAGTAAACAGGACAATACACTCACCCTACCATGCTGACACATACAGAAGTTTTCGTTTTCACAGTGAAGGCCAATTATTGACCAACAATCCTAAATTTTGAGACTGTTTAAATAGTATAATAAAGCTGGTAAGTGGCTGCAGACAGGTATTAAACATGGTGCTTATAAAAGGTATTACCACATAATATAGCTTGATATTTTGTACTAATCACAAGAGTTAACAAAGGCCTGTCAGACTGTTATTAGCACGAAGCCAATAAAGCCATCTTACTATTTTGGGTGGAAAACTGGGCTGAATTTGAAAGCTATTAAACAAAGAAACCAAATGCAATTATCAGTTGAAAATAATCAATGCATAAATAGTCATTACCCAAATACAAATTTGGGTTCTTAACAGTAATTTAAAAAAAAAAAAAAAAAACAACCCATTGTGAATACTAGCTGCGTAAGCACCTCTTATTTATGAAATTAAACATCAATGGAGTAGAAGGTTACTTCTCTAAATATGACATTAAAGCATAAGTACTGGTACAGGACCACTTGAAAAAAAAATTCTTGCAAAAGCACATTATTATACTGATCTAATTCAAATTAGAATGGCAAATACATAAAGCAATGAAAACAGGAGCTTTAAATAGCAGAGGGTATCTTTTAACTTGAATAATAAACAATAAATTTAAATTGTAGACAATGCCAGTGTCACTCTGTCTGGAGAAACTTATCTACATTTCCATTAATTTAAGTGACTTGTTCCAAGTTTGGAACTTATGAATGATAAATCACAGGCTTTAATCAATATGTAGAGCTATTAATGATGAAATTTCACGTCTAGATTTTGGCAAGACCTTCTTTTTTACTCCAACAACCATCACTGTCTTTGTGATTATTTTATTTTCAGACATACCCTTATAACAGAATATAGCTAGTACCTAAATGCAACAGCGCAGCCAGCATTTTATTAGGGAGAATGTTTAAGTATTTTCTCTAATGTCACAGGTTGGGGGGAGGACACTTATCTATCTTGAAAACAAAAGTTAACAAATAGATTTTGTTTCTGATGGCAAGGCTGAATTAAATAGTCAGAGATTTTTGTCTCAGCTATTTTAAATGGAATTTAGCTGTAAGCAGAGATAGCTATGCTTCAGCAATTATTCAGTTCAGTAGAGAACAATTTGCAGGATTAGTCAATCTACATTAGCTGTGTCAACATCTGTGGGATTTGCATTGACAGCAATTCATAAATCTATCACCTGGAGTGCAAGAATACCTTCTCAAATCTATGCTATGCTAAAGTACCATTCATGCACAGTCATCATTTCCCCTCCCCCTCATTAACAAATAGTTTTCCACTTAAAACATTAATTTCCCTTTAGATCACACTACTACCGAAAACAAAATGCAGCACAAGATTTATTAAAATAAAAAAATCCTTCAACTTGGCCTCGCTTTAAAAAAGCTATTAAAAAATGAAAGTATTTCTCGGGTGATGGTTTTTATTTTACCAAAAGTTAGCAATATCTTTGTACTAAACTACAGCAAGCAGGGTCTTTACTGAAATATGTCAGATCAGACTTGCTGTGCGTTTGAAATATTATTCCCCGCCCCCCCCCAAGGTTAAATCTCCTTGAGGTACCCATCAGATTTCCTCACGATGCCCAAAAAAGGGACTTGAAACCTGGACCCTCTGATTCAACCAAACAAAAAATAACTGAAAAATTCCTCTGCAAGACTTATGTTAACTTTAAAAAAGAAAAAAAAAAAAAAATCTGTTTACAAATGTTGCACCCCTTTCTTTTAAAGATACATTCAAAGGTACTTTACAAACAGAGATGGTCAAGTTCAAATCAATGCCTTACATTTTACCATAAAAATAAGCAAGCACTGCACATTAAATTCTGACTGCTACAGATTCTGAAGTTCTTGTTGCATCCCATATTTTGCCACCACAATTGAAGTTAAAGCTAGGATAACAATGTCTATCTTTAATCCCAAATGCTGATTTCAGTGCCACTGCTTGAGGGACAGCTGGGTAGAAGATGGGAAGAAAGACAAGTGGCTAGAGCTATTTAACATATTCCGAGCTCTATGTATATTCTGTTGGCAAGATGACAGTTGAACAATTCACACCGAAAAAGCTGGTCTACTTGTATACTCCAGACAGACTCAGAATGGACTTACAATTAAACAACTGCCTTAAATTGCCATTGCACTGAGAAAGACAGCTATAGCATCCTAGAAATGTTTAGCTCTGTATTTGTCTATCCATTATTAAAAACAGAGATGCAGTCAGTAGCTACATTGATTGAATGTTGTTCCCTATTTAGGGCACTTTCTCTTGTGTCGTGCGTTTCACAAATCTGCACTTACAAATTTTATAGCTTCATCTTACCTTGCAAAGAAAACTGATGTTAAAACCAAGAGACTGTGCGTTTCTGGAGCCAGAGTTCATGTAGTTTCCAAGGAACAGCACTAACTCTAAAAGCTTACTAAAGCTTTCACTCTTCTTCAGCTCTTCACAAGCTAGTGTAACCGCCACAATGTCAGGTTTGATATTGTTTACGTGCTCTTCAAACATAAGCCTGAAAAGGATGCCATTGAGACGTGACCGCAACATTTTCACTGAACTCATCTACAAAATAAGAAACATGAAATCAGAACATAAAACCCAAAGCTTATTTATGCAAAACAGCTTATATATTAAAAACCAATATTGTTCAAGACTACAATTTCTGTGTTTTCACTGCCTATCTTGTATTTCCAGGAATCTGTACCTGCCCCCAGATATTTTTCCCCAAACCATACACCTTCCCTGAAAAAATTCAGTGACGCAACATATTGAAAATAAGAGAGTACTTTGTGTTACCAAACCATTTAACTTGTGAATTCCAAACTCACTGGCAATAAACGCACACTGCCAAAACCCTTCCTCCCAGCAAAGGAAATGTAAGCCAATTCCACCAGTTAACAAGAACTGAAAATCAGCCTGAAGTGGCAAACATTTCATTACATCTCCAGTGAAGTTACCCTTGAACTCTGATATTTACCAATTTCCTAAAACTAAGCTTCTCAGTTTTTATTCCTTCAGAAATGGTACAACAATCTCTCAAGTGTGTCTGCTGATACCAGCACAAATGCAAACAGCTACACTTCAGTCCGATTAAGCTAAAGAATTATACTTTCCATTTTTAGACTCTTTTACTGAGCTGACACACAGCTCTCAACTTGCTCTTGGTCCCCGGGAGAGCAATAGGGGAGGGAGATGATGAATTCTTAGGGACCCTTGTGGAAGGACGTGGGGATCTCTGAGTGAGTTTGAGACACAGGAGGTCAAGCTTCACTAGTCAGATATTTATATAAAGCCAGGTCACATTAGTACTACTCTTCATGAAATGTTTTCTGCCATTGTACTGATGCAAGCTGTTAATTGTGATACTTACAGATGACATCAGTGCTACATCTAACAAGGTGTTTATTTTTGCGGTTTTCAATTAAAACGAAACCCAAACTGGGGTTTATTCAGTTATTATCTTATAGCAAGTTATAAAATAAATAACATGAATCCTACCAGTATTGACAGTTGCCAAACAAGCTCAAAGGTATTTTAAAGATACACCATGATATATATTTGATCCTAAGACTTTTCAAGTTGATGCCACCAAAAAGTCCCAATCTGTGTATCCCAAAGAATAATCAGATTCCGGAGGTGGATAAAGAGGTTTTGGCTGAAATTCATGACAATAAATTTTATACAAAAACCAATATACCAGAGATATTAAAGTAAGGATATACTTCTGGTATACTCTTTCAGTTCTGATCCCATGACATCATATTTTGCAGGCAACATACTGCTTCCTTTTTAACCTCTTGTCTTTTTCTCCCCTTAAGCAAATTTTGTAAAACTATTGCCCAAGATATTATCACCTTTATGTTTCAGACACTTTGCAAAAGGTAGGATAGGACTCATTCCTTCCTCACCTGATAAAAAGATGGGAGGTTATAAATCACAACATGGTAACATAGTAAATGACAGAGACACTGAAAAGCATCTACAACTGTGATGCATTAGTTTAAATCTCCAAGACCAATTTCATTAGACTTAGACGAGCTACCAAAGTATGTCCATGTCTTTCATATTGTGCACAAGTGATCAGCAATATTTCCTCCTACTTAGCAGCGGACTATAATTCACAAGAGATATTTAAATATAAGAGAAGAGATATGTATTGAAAATTTTTAATCCACTTAAAAATTTTCATTTAAATGCAGGAATGATTACCTTCCAAATCTAACTCCTAATTTTAATTAGCAGAATACAGAAAGATTTCTCCCCCAATGTATTCACTATCAGTGGTGTTCCTGAAGCACTTTGTCCCCCTGAAAGAAAAGCTTTGTTATGTGACAAATCACAGATCTTGGCTACCAAACAGAAAGATTCTTATGTGCTCATGTCCCTGTTGCCCAAAGCTTTACCATAGCTCCTTGAGGAACCATGTTTTTTCTACTGGTGTTATCTACCACAGACAGCTACCAGAAGCAGCAGCAATAACTTTCACAGGAAAGCCTTGGGTGGCCTGAATAATGATGAATTCATACTAAAATGAAAATAAATATGAAGGCACTCCAGATGGTCCCGAACAATTCATATGATCAGACTGGAACGAGGAAAAGGAAAGGATCAGAAAAGAAGGGTTTCAGCATAACTTGCAATCTTTTTTTATACATGTCCATTGTCACAAATTTCTCTGTGAGCCTCTGTAAGTCAACAGCATGCAAAGTCTTGAAATATTATTCTTCTAATCATTCTGTATTTCAGAAATATCCCACTGAAAACATCTGCCTTGAAAGGATCTACCTTCACTGAGCTTCAGTAGATGGAAATTAAAATTAATCACATAATTTGCTTTAATTTCTGCAGAACAATCTCCAATTACTCATTTTACCCAAAAATGCACAGGAAAAAAAAGCTGTCAAAAGCTTTAGATCCTGAAAACAGAGTGCAACAAAACACGTATAAGCCAACAGAACAGTGTGACAAACACTCGTGAAGAATAATCCTTTAGAACACTTCAGCCAATTTGTACTTTCTTTTTTTTAATGCTGTGAAGTGTCATGAAACACTGATCATTTATTTGTTTTGCAAGGTAGTTTGACTACCAAACCAGTAGTAAGTTTTAATTTCATTTGGTGATCTGCAAAATATTTAAAAAGTATCTTGACAATTTCGTAAGAGCTGTTTCAAGTGGGTTATTTCCTTAGAATTCAAAACATTTTTGTATACATTATGTGCTTTATGTATCAATAGAAGATGTTCACAAATGCTATTTTACTTCCCCCTTCCCCACCCTGCCCCGGTTTCTCTTTCACATGCATGTTTCTAAGTACACATGTTCAAGGACTGATAAACATATTGAACTTAGAGCAATCTTCTGCAAATAGGTAAGGTGCAAAGATTACATTCACTGAGAAAAAGGTCAAATTGTTCATAATTCTACAAAATTAGTGTCAAAGGCATATAGAAAATAACACATTCAAATAGGCACATGTAACAGCAAGTGTTAGCCTTCACCACAAACAGTTAAAACAGGAAAAAAAATGGGTATTTCTTTTCCAGCTAACTGTGAGCACTGGACTGCATGTCATTATTTCCCCTTCCAGGCTTTCATAAAGGTCCTTGTCTGAATTCTCTACCTAATCAAGTTCTTTATTCAGTTCTTTATTCTTTATTATCATCATTCAATTCTCAAGCCCTGTATTAAAACTAGGATCAAAGGTTATTGGAGAAAGAGGCAAAAGGCACAATTAAATTTGCCTCACTTCCTAAGGAAAAAAGCTGACATTCCTACAATACAAATTTGTCAACCTACTCGGACAACTTACTCAGCCTCTTACCTATAATATATTTAACAGTTGCCTTTTTTTTTCCTAGCAATGTTCTAGAAAAATTAATTCTTCTCCAGCTCTAGAAATTACAACGAGGCAAAACAAGTGGCAAATAAATTCAATTAAAATGACTCCAAACCAGTGCAGGTGCAATAAACTTGTACAATTCTTCCCACTTCGTCTACCTCCCAGCAAGAACTGTTCAGGATAGCAAATCCTGGTTATACAGCAGGAAGTGTCACAGAATCATAGAATCGTTTAGGTTGGAAAAGACCTTTAAGATCATCCAGTCCAACCATTAACCTAACACTACCAAGTCTACCACTAAACCAATTCAGGGTAGAGTAATAATTCATTTCATGTTTCCTTGCTTGGTGGCTGGATTATTTTTTAATGAATTAAAACTAGGAATCACTAAGGTTGGAAAGGACCTCTAAGATCATCAGTCCAACTGTCAACCCACCACCACCACCACGCCTACTAAACCATGTCCCAAAGCACCACGTCTACCCGTTTTTTGAACAATCTGCAAGTCTCTACCACTACAACTACTCAGTGAAAGTTATCCTCCTCCATTAACAATGCAATTACTGATAACCCAGTTCTTAACAGCTGAAGGAAGTTTTGCATTCATTAGAAACCAACAAAAACCCCCTCC